TAGTATTCCATGGTGTAAATGTCCCACAGCTTTTTTATCCACTCATCTACTGATGGGCACTTGGGCTGTTTCCAGATCTTAGCTATTGTAAACTGTGCTGCTATGAACATCAGGATACATATATCCTTTCTGATGAATGTTTCAGGATTCTGCCTGAGAGATCTGGAGTGGTCTGCCAAGTCAAGTACTGCAATAGCCTCCCTGACATCCCCTTCGACCCCAAGTTCATTACCCACCCCTTCGACCAGAACAGGTTTGTTCAGTACAAAGCAACTTCCTTGGAAAAACAGCACAAACATGACCTCCTGACTGAGCCAGACCTGGGAGTCACCATCGACCTCATCAATCCTGACACCTACAGCATTGACCCCAATGCACTCTTAGATCCAGCTGATGAGAAGCTTCTGGAAGAGGAGATTCAGGCACCCACTAGCTCCAAGGGGTCTCAGCAGCATGCGAAGGTGGTGCCATGGATGCGGAAGACAGAGTACATCTCCACCGAGTTCAACCGTTATGGCATCTCCAATGAGAAGCCTGAGGTCAAGACTGAGGTTTCTGTGAAACAGCAGTTCACTGAGGAAGAAATTTACAAAGACGGGGAAAGCCAGATTACAGCCATTGAGAAGACTTTTGAGGATGCCCAGAAGTCGATCTCCCAGCATTACCGCAAGCCCCGAGTGACACCAGTGGAGGTCATGCCTGTCTTCCCAGACTTTAAGATGTGGATTAATCCATGCGCTCAGGTAATCTTTGACTCAGATCCGGCCCCCAAGGACACGAGTGGAGCAGCTGCATTGGAGATGATGTCTCAGGCCACGATCAGGGGCATGATGGATGAGGAAGGGAACCAGTTTGTGGCCTACTTCCTGCCTGTGGAAGAGAGGCTGAAGAAACAGAAGCGGGATCAGGAGGAGGAGATGGACTATGCACCGGATGATGTGTATGACTATAAGATTGCTCGAGAATACAACTGGAATGTGAAGAACAAGGCTAGTAAGGGTTACGAAGAAAACTACTTCTTCATCTTCCGAGAGGGCGATGGAGTTTACTATAATGAGTTGGAGACCAGAGTCCGCCTGAGCAAGTGCAGGGCCAAGGCTGGGGTTCAGTCGGGTACCAGTGCCCTGCTTGTGGTCAAACACCGGGACATGAACGAGAAGGAATTAGAAGCCCAGGAGGCACGGAAGGCCCAGCTGGAGAACGATGAACCCGAGGAAGAAGAGGAAGAGGAAATGGAGACAGAAGAGAAAGAAGCTGGGGGCTCAGACGAGGAGCGAGAGAAGGGCACAGCAGTGAGAAGGAAGGCAGTGAGGATGAGCGCTCAGGCAGTGAGAGTGACCGGGAGGAGGGTGACAGGGATGAGGCCAGTGACAAGAGTGGCAGTGACCAGGACGAGAGAAGCGAAGATGAGGCCCGAGCTGCTCGGGACAAAGAGGAGATCTTCGGCAGTGATGCGGATTCAGAGGATGCGGACTCTGATGATGAGGACAGAGGACGGGCCCATGGCAGTGACAATGATTCAGGGAGTGGCAGCGATGGGGGTGGCCAGCGGAGCCTCAGCCCCAGCTGCAGTGCCAGTCCTTTCCCCAGTGGCAGCGAGCACTCAGCGCAGGAGGATGGCAGTGAAGTCGCAGCTTCTGATTCCAGTGAAGCGGACAGTGACAGTGACTGAGTCCTTTCAGGGCTGATGCAGACATGATTATGTACAGAAAGGCACTTTTCCGTGGTGTATTTGTGAGCCTTTCGNNGTATGTCCTCTTTGGAGAAGTTTCTATTTAAGTCCTTTGCCCATTTCTTAATTGGGTTGTTTGTCTTCCTCTTGCTGAGTGCTATGAGTTCTTTGTACACTTTGGAAATTAGCCCCTTATCAGATTCATCCTTGGCAAATATGTTTTCCCAGACTGTGAGGTTCCTTTGTATTTTGAGACTGTTTTCTTTTGCTGTGTATTCCCATTTGTTTATTTTTTNTTCCTTTGTATTTTGAGGCTGTTTTCTTTTGCTGTGCAGAAGCTTTTTAGTTTGATGTAGTCCCATATGTTTATTTTTTCTTTTGTTTCTCTTGCCCTAGGAGATGTATCAGTGAAAAGTCCACTACGTGGGATGTCTGTGACTTTACTGCCTATGTTTTCTTCCAGGATTTTTATGGTTTCATGACTTACATTTAAGTCTTTTATCCATTTTGAGTTTATTTTTGTGTATGGTGAAAGTTGGTGGTCTAGTTTCATTCTTTTGCATGTATCTGTCCAATTTTCCCAGCACCACTTATTGAAGAG